CGATGGGTCAAGTCCTTCTTGAGTTCTTCAGCTCTCTGACTTGTTCCACTTCTCTGCTGCCTCCAGCCTGAGCAAGCCCTGCTTTTAAGGACTAGACCCATTTGCATAATGTCCCAACTTTGGGTCATCAATTAGTGACCTTACCACATCACCTGAATCCCTTTTGCCATGTAAGGTGACAGCTTGACGGGTACTAGGGGTTGGGATGTGGATATCTTTTGGGGGATGGTTCCCCCTACCACAGAGATCACTCTCTCAACTTTAAGACTTGGAAACAGACTTGGTGAGGTAAAGTAATTTCCCCAGATGGGAGTTAGTGGTTATTATGGGATTCAAACTTACGTCCTGTCTGATTCCAGAGCCCATACTTTTCTTATAACACACACAGACCCCAAGCCTGGAATAGGTTGGCATCCCAGACAATATTCTGGGGATGGTGGGTGGTGGTGAATCCTTTCTGGGATCCACCTCATCCCTTTCTTTTCAGCACTGTCTTTTGTGCTTGCTGTGTTTGGTAACACCCCATTCTAAATTCAGGAATCCCATGTTCTCCCCACTTATGTGTAGCAAGGTCTCCTTCGTTGGAAATATGCCCCCCACTCCCCACCCCAACACGCACTTCTTATTGGGCCACAGATTCCTTTTATCTCTAAAGAACAAAAGCTCAAAGTAAAATGCAGCTCAAAGTAAGTAGATATATTACCTGTATCCTGTGTTATGTAAAGTGGAGTTTAAACATCCAATTTTAATGCAAATCAACTGAAAAAAAAAAAAAAAGCCTAAAAGCCACATTTCCCTAATGCCTGCTCATGTCCTAAACTGTGGATATAATTATCAAAACTATTCAGCTCGTTTAGAGACACTTTGTGGGAAGGTGGCTCCAGGGTCGAGGTGTGAATGTGCGGTGGGAGGTTGGCCAAGACAGCAGGGCTTTCCTGTGGCCGCTACAGCTGGTCCACAGCTTCTAACTGATAAAAAGCAAGCCAGGGCAGGGCAGGCACAGCATCCAATTAAGCATGGGGTCAAAGTTACCTTGGCCAACAATCTCATGTATTCTTGTGCTATAAAATTGTCAACCCAACATACACAAGCACATCTACAAAACATACAAATTCTATTTCTTGGAAAGGAAAGATGCTTCTGCCTGCTGTTACTATTCTCATATTTAAAGGGCACACTAAAACATGGTTCCATTTAGCGCAATAAAACCTACTTTAAAGTGGTGGCCTTGTATATCGTACAGTCAGAACCTCCATATCTGTGGGTTCCTCATCCACAGTTTCAATGAGCCATGGCTTATTATTTTACTGAAAATATTTCAAAAAACTGCATCTGTATTGAACATATACAGATTGTTTTTCTGTCATTTTCCCCTAAGCCATATAGCACAACAACTACGTACACTGCATTTACATCATATTAAGTATATAAGTAATTGAGAGATTAAAGCATATAAGAGGTTGTATATGGGTAATATGTTAGCACTGTGTCATTTTATATAAGAGATTTGAGCATCCATAAATTGGTATGGGAGGGGTGGTCCTAGAACCAATTCCCCACAGATACCAACTCTGAGTTCCCTTCCCTTTCAGTCTACTCTTTGTACATGCATTTAATGAGCAGTTTCTACTGTCCTGAGCTTCAAGAACATAAAGCTGGATGAATGGTTTTGTCTTTAGCTCTAGGTTTAGCAAGAGACAAGGCAGGGTGGAGGCACAGGTGAAGAAAACCTGGTGAGGAGGAGCACACAGTGAGGGAACGGATGGGCAAAAGAGAGGGCAGGGAAGGTGTTCCAGCTCTAGAGGCGGCCTCTCCAGTGCCGTCTCCTGCAGGGAACTCTGCATTGAGCAGAGAGGGAGGCTTGGCCATGGTAGAAGGTCAGGCACAGTCTGAGATGTGCTGGAGGTCTTGTCAGTGCCTCTGGACATAGGGTTGGAGGAAGAAGCAGGTGATGAGGTCAAAGAAGTAGGCAAGGTTATAAGAACGACTCAGGAGAGACCCATGGGCTTCCTCTGTAGGACAGGAGGGAGCTGCTGTGGACTTAGCTTAGGAGGTTTGCATTCCAGGAGGGGCATTTTGGCAAGAGTATGGGAAGATGGGACAGGTAGAATGGAGACAGAGGACCACTTAAAAGACTGGTAGGCTGAGAAAGAAGGGTGTGAGGCATGGTAGGGGAAGTGGATCTTTAGGACTTGGCAACTTGGGGGCTCTCCTGCCACACCCTGGGGCCAGCATTCTTTTCCTCTGACTGGCAGCTCCCTTCAATGTTGGCACTACCTCTCCTTTGCTGCTGAAGCATCACTCACATACCCCGTCCAAATCTCCAGTCATCCACAGACACACTTTCAAATTCCCACCTTTACACACTCAGGTGCCTCATTATCCCCATCTGCAGATGGTACCCTATTCACATGGTATATCCACCCTTGGAAAAGCACTACCTTTTCTGGTACATAAAATGCTAAAAAAAATACCCAGGAATGGCTTTCAAAGTGCTGTTAGCTGACACAACATAATGGAATGTTGGGGTGTGAGAAACAGAGTATTTCCTGTGATGGCTGTCTGCAGTCCTTTTTTGTGTGTGTGGTTTAAAAATTTTTGTGATGGATTATAAAGTGTCTCTCTCACACCTCCCTGGGACCCTTTCCCAACTTCTCTATTCAAAGCAGCCCCTGTTAATGCCAAATGACTCCAAAGCTGGCTGGATGAGATTGCTTCTTGATTTGAGCAGATGTGTGTTAACATTGCTATAAAGGAAAGGTCCTGGTGTGTTGGACCAGAATGTGCTATCATTGGATGAAGCCTGCATCCAAAGTCACTGCCAGGTGGAAGAAGGATCATACTCACCTTGTGTGGATCAAGAAGACAGACTGAACCCTAGCAGACAAGCTGGAGGAAGCAGGCTTCAGCTTAGGGTATTTTCTAACAATTCCATCAAAAAATTCTCAATGCAGAATGCTCAACTGTGAAATCATGAATGCATCATTATGCACAGCACTGAAGCAGATTGGTTGACTGGTGTCTATCAGGAATGCAGCAGGGAGGACGCATGCCAGCAGGGAGGAAGGCTGGTACTTGTCACTAGTGAAGGGTACCATGAGCATTGGGGTATACAATCAGTCCTGCCCTTAAGAGACAAATCTCTGTCCCACTGAGAATGCCAAGTGTCTCTCTGGTTCCAGGTTCTCCTGGGCTGGTGCAGGGAGACCCAGCCTTGAACTCCACACCCACACACCGAGGACATCACATTCTAGGAGGCCAGCAGGGATGGGGTCTCACGAGGGGTTTGGCAGGGGTGGGGGGTGCTGGGGTTTTCTGTTTAATTTGCTGCACTTCAGTCCTGTCCTCATCTGGCAAGAAGCCAGCTCTTCTGATGGATTTCTCTACACTGCCCAGTTTGGGAGAACAGATGCTATGGGTTAGGCCAGAAGCCATAAATTTCTGGGAAATAACTCTTAGTGACTGAAGAAGAAAGCCATAAAACACTCTGAGGGCAGGGACAGGAGACAACAGTGGCAGCAGACAATACCGGGGATTATGTCTAAGTGCCAGGATAGACCCAATGGATCACTCTCTTGGCCCACATGCTGCTCCAGAGCCCCGCGCCAACATGTTCCCCACGGCTGACAGGAAAAGGGCCCTGGCACGTGGGGACTCTCCCTCTTATTCCACTGTCATTTGTTTGTTCAACCATTTTTGCGCACCTCCTGTGTAGCAGGCATTGCGTACACTAACGCCTGGAGATAACCACAAACAAAACCACCACATCCCTCTCCTCGTGCAGCTGGCATCCCAGTGATCTCTTAGGTCTCACCTGCTAGAAGGAAACTCAAACTTACTCTGCCCACATGGTGCCAGGGTTTTCACATACTTCCCTCACTCAGTTTCACAACAACCCCAAGATGGAGGCCTCCAGCTCTTTATTCCAAAGTCACAACTGTTTCTTTTTCTTTCTCTTTTCTTGTTTTCTTTTGTAGTACTGGGGATTGAACAGAGAGCCTTTGCACTGAGCTATTTTTATTTTGAGACAGGGTTTTGCTAAGCTATTAAATTGCTAAGGCTAGACTCAAATTCACAATCCTCCTGCCTCTACTTCCTGAAGAGCCTTTGCACTGAGCTATTTTTATTTTGAAACAGGGTTCTGCTAAGTTACTAAATGCTTAGGCTGGACTCAGATTCACAGTCCTCCTGCCTCTACTTCCCAGAGTACTGAGATTGCAGCAGACTCTAGGTGTGCACTACCCTGCCTGGCTTGAAGTTATACCCTCAGTACTTGGGGAAATGAAGGTCAGTCAGTGTCACTGGCTCGGTGGACGGAGGCTTTCTGGCTGCTGCTTCTCCTGCAGCTGCAAACCTGAGCTCTACACCACTGTGGCCAGACCTAGACATCTGTGTGGATGGTTTAGGGCTAAGTGACCACTCACTTTCACTCCCTTCTTCCTCTCCCACTACATGATAAGGGCAAGATCCCTCCAGGGTTCCTGTAGCAATTAATCCAGACGATCCCCATTAATCTAGTGCTGGGTATTATAATCAGCACAGCCAAAGAATGTTCACAGCTGTTAAGGAATGATACTATCTTTCCTGTTTTTCATTCTCTTTCTCCCCAGACTCCTTCTAATGCCAAATTCCCAAGTTCAGCACTCCTGTTTTAGCCTGCACTTGGCCCCTTGGACTTGGTGCTCTTCCTTGATTTTCCCCTTCTAGCTTTTGCATCTTATTTTTCTCCAAGGGCCCTGGGTGTGTCTCTGCCTGGGTCTGTAGCACCCATGGGCACCACGCAGAAATGCTTTTGTTACCGCTACTTTCCAACATCACTGCTCTGGCACAGCACCCAGACTTGCCCAAAGGAATGACTCACTCACTGTCTCCCAGGCCCTCATCCAGATGGATGTGACTCTGCTGAGCTGCCAGCTGGGCTGAAGGACACAGTGATTCCTGCCTTAGCCCCTGGGACATACACAATGGCATAGGCAAGGATACACAGGATGAGGACTCACCGAAGTTCTCCCCACCCCAGATGTCCATGTCCATGTCATATTTCCCCAGGTAATCGAACCAAGCTTTGTCAATCACAAAGAGCCCTCCAGCGATGATTGGAGTCCTACACATTTGGAAGGAAAGGCGGAGGGAAACCAGTTAGAGGAGGGAGAAACTCCCTGGGAATCCAGAACTCAATCCCATCCCTGCCCCATCTTTGTTCCGCTTCAGAAAGGCCAACATATATTTCAGTTAAAACAAGGTTTTGCCCTCTGCTTGTAAATCTTCTAGTTTTGTAGAACCGCAACTTTACTGTCAGCATCCTTCCTGCGATCCCCTACCAAACTGTTCCTCAGGCCCTGGCCAAGGGGTGCTCCATGATTGGGAGGAAGGCAGCACGGGCCATGACAAGGCAGACAAGGGCTGGAGCAACACCTGTCAGCAGCACATTCATTTCTTGAAACCAGGTTCACTGCCTTGTTTTCCAGCTTCACCCCTGTTATGGGTTGAATTGTCTCCTTTCCCCCAAAATCGTATGTTAGAGTTCTAGCTCCCTGGATTTTAGAATGTGATCTTATTTGGAGACAGCGTCTTAGTCTTATAGAGGTGATCACGTTAAAATGGGACCATTGGGGTCTTTAGAAAAAAGGGAAGTTTAGTTGCAGACAGGTGTAAAACAGTGGTATGGGAACACAGAGAGAAGATGGCCATCTGCAAGCTGAAGAGAAAGGTGTAGAATGCCCGCAGAAGGCACCAGCCCTGCCTGAACCTCAATCTTAGATCTCTGGCCTCCATCACAGTGAGACAGGCCTTCTGCCATTTAAGCCACACTGTCTGAGGTACTTGTTACTGCAGCCATTGCAAACTCATACACTCTCATCTTCATTTTCTTCTTGGTGGCCCCATCCCTAACCTTCCCTGGCTCTTAATTACTGAGACAGATGCCAGGGAAACTGTTTGGAAAGAAAAAAAGGTAGACAAGAATAGCAGAATCCAAGCAAATAATTCCTTAAGTGTAAGGACATGTGTCTGGAAAATCAATGACTGGAGGAAGTTGTGAGCACTCAGGGACCCAGCACCCCTTTTGTGGTGTTTTGTCTCTTCAAATGTTCCACTGATGGAAAACCAGTCATAGGCTCGGGTCTACCTTTCCTACAACAGCTTGCTGCTCCCCGAGTACTGGCCTCATCCTGGAAAACCCCCCTCTCCAATGAGTAGACACATAGTACAAGAAGAGAATCTGCCGCAGGGACAGTGGGGCTCTTTTAGAACAGGGACAGAAAAATTCAGGTTATGTCACCACCCTTGCCCTTGACTTAGTCCACTCCTTTAGGGTCTCTAGGCAGGTGATGCTTTCCTCACATCACACCTGCTTCACGCACTGACTCAGAGAAGCAGATATACACTGTATGATGCTCAGCCTGGTAAGAAGTGTCTCCTTCCCTTTAGAGACCACTGTCCAGGGTGCCCTCTATCTCTGGTCTCCCTCTTGGCATCAAAGGCTCAAGAAGAGATGAGGTGCCAATATGTATATGAGCAGAGTTCCAGCCTACCATAGAGTTCTGTTTGGAACATAGCCATTCAACTCTTCAGAGCTCTTTCCATCCTCAGTTTGACTTAAATCAATCCAGTGAATATGAGCAAATATGTGGCAGGTACAAATAAATGACCTTGAATAATTCTGGGCAGTCATAAGCCACTAGATGGAGCAATCCCAGTCCTGGGGCCTTCTCTGTAGTGCTTCATGCACTTTTATCCCCCTGCTACCCTACCTAAGGCAGATTTATTTTAGCTTGACACCTGGGATGTGTTTGCCATTCAGTGTTAGGTAGGACCTCAAGGCCACACTCTTGATGTTGAGAGCAGTCTCCCTGAGGGACCACTATGCTTCACTCTAGGCCAAGTCCTCCGATAAGCCCTGAGCACAGGCAGATAGCCTACCAGCATGTGTTATATGGGACCCAAAGGAGCCAGAAAGAGACACAGTGGATGAAGGCAGCCACCCACAGCATGATGCTAGTCCCTTGGAGTTCATATGCCGCCATGTTATCACACATAATAGAGCAGATATGCTGGTTACGCATAGCAGTGGCAATGCCTTGTATCAGCCTTCACTTATAGGCTTACAGCCTTCACCTGCTCCGCTGTCCTGGAATGAATCTCAATAGCCAAGACAAGGGGGTCCTCGGACCTAAGTGATAGTCTTAGCTCTCCAGTGTTAGCAGGAAACGCAAGCCATGTGTGAGGGTGGACAATGTAGGGCATCCTCCTCAGCATAGATCTCCCAGAGGACCCCATTTGCCTAGATAAAAACCACCATGAAGACAGAAACCTCCTAAAGTAAGAGCAGAAGTAGAGTTGGCTGCTGCAGGGTTGTTCTCTTTGTCTCTGCACAATCCTTTGAACATCTAATATGGACCTGTCCCTCTACCACAGGACAGCAGGAAGAACCCAGTGGAATTACACTTGTCCAGCCCACCTGTGCTAACCCTTTCTACTCACCTGATGGGCTCCGTGGGGTCCAGGCGCTGAGCCTTCTGCTCTGGGGAGAGCTGCTCCCACCGGAAGTGGAGGCTCCAGTCAAACCCTATAAAACATGGCATCAACCCAGTCCATTTGGTCTCTCAAGGCACCTGCAAATCTCCTTTTTTCAGAAACTCACGAATATGCTCAGGTCCCTGGGAAGACAGGTTTCCTCAGCACTAGTCAATAGCAAAGCTGCCAAAATTCCCTTCTGGCTTTCTTCTCTTGTTCTATCTCCTCCTGCCTTCTGAAGCATCTCTGCTGGGCAGAGATGGGGAGAAGAGGGTGGAGGATGAGAGCACAGGCACGGGATCCAAGGGTGACAAGACAGACAGTTATGGAAGGTGGTCCTCGGCGCAGTGTCAGGAAAGTATAAGGAGGGGGGTTTCAAGAGGTTTCAAGGTCACCTGAAAGTCTGTCTTTGGGTGAGGGTAGAGCTAGGTTCTGGGTAGAGAGCTGGGGAGGGTCTCTAGGAGAGGGTGGTGCTGAGGATGAGGTGCAGAAAAAACCAGGTCACATGTATTCAGGGGAATCCTTGCTGCTGTCATCCTCAGGCCCTGGGGTGAGTCCTTTCTGGGAACTGATGTCTGGGGACTGGTGAGTCTCCCCACAGCCCTCGTTCATTTCTCAGCACCACGCTCGAGTGACTTCTACTACAGGGTGCAGGGCTGAGGCTCCAGACAAAACACTAAGGGGTTCCCCGCACCTCCCCCCCATTTAAAGAACTGAAAAGGAGCAGAAGAAAATTAATGGGGAGAAGGTATCAGCCCCACTCACCCCCTCTGAGCTCTGAGGCCGACTCGATGTAGGTGAAGGTGTCCAGGTTAATGATGTCAATCACAGGGCACACCACCCGAGTGTAGTCCTGTAAAACAAAGCCCCTGTGCTCTATTTGTGGGGACCAGCCTGGCTGGGGGTCAGAAAGCTTGGTAGGGCCTTGCCCTGGTAAGGCTAGAGATAGGGCTTATGACCTTTACCAAGCACTTTCATTTCTGCATCTTAATTTCATCACCCATAGAATGAGGCACTGGACACATGACCTCTCTGGTTCTGATGCTTAAATGCCAAGAACACCTCCTTGATGGCTTGGGGGTCTTGTCAGCCACAGTGGCCACAAAAGGATGGTAGGAGATGGCTGAGGTACATTGTATGCAAAGAAAGGGGCTCCAGATATCCTTCACCATTGTTGGTGGCCAAGGAGGCAGACAGTACAGTCAGCTGGCAATCCCAAAAGTGAAGCCAACCATCCATAGTGACAGCCTCATTCTATGTCTGTGGTTCCTAGACAAGGTGACAAATAGTTGTCCCCTGTAGCTGGACACTTACATACCTGTACCCTTAGCACCAACATCCCTTCTAGCTCCCAGCCTCAGATCCAATATGAATAGGCCACCTCTAAATGCAATCACTCAGCCCTTCCAATGGTGTTTTTTTCTTCTCCCTTGCATGCTCCTTTCCCTAAATTCCTTATTCTGTTAACAGATTACCACATAATCCCCTTCCCTAGCTCCAAATTAAGATTTACTCAGCCCAACAACCAGATCAAGTTCTGCTGGTATTTACTCTAAAATGGCTCTTTGAATTTACCTTGCCTCTATCCTCTCATGTGTAGAGTACAGCAATGGGCTCCTAAATTCCTCTCCATCCTACTCATCATCCATTCCTTTCATTCTTCCTGTAGCTGCCAAACCTGCCTTTCTGATATGCAATCCCACTGTGCTACTCAACTGCTAAGAACTTAAATCACCTCTAAAACAAAGCACAAATTCCTGCAAATGGCATCCAAGACTATCACAACCAGGCTTGCTTCTACATATGAGTGAGAACATGCAGGATCTATCGGAGTGGAACAAAGGTCATATGAAGGTAGGGAGGCAGAGGTCAGAGACACAATGCATAATGGGTACCAAGATACAGTTAGAAAAGAAGAGTAAGGCCAGGCATGGTGGTGCCTATCTTTAATTCTAGCTACTTGGGAGGCTAAGGTAGGAGGATCACAAATTTAAGGCTAGCCCTGGCAGTTTAGCAAGACCTTATACTCTGATTTCTCTTCAGAGCATATAAATATTTTGTTTTTTAGCAAGAATTTGTTTCAAAATTTAAGAAAAAAAGAGGAGAAAAAATATAGAAGGAGCAAATTCTAGTGTTCTATAGCACAGTAGGGTAAATATAGTTTATAGTAATTTATTGCAAAATAACTAGAAGAGAGGGTTTTGCATGTTTCCAATGCAAAGAAATTGATAAGTGTTTGAGGAGACAGAAATTCTTTTTTGTTTTTTCTTTTCTTTTTTCTCGTTTTTGTCTTTTTGAGACAGGGTCTCACCATGCAGTTCAGGCTGGTCTTGCACTCACTTTGTAGCCCAGACTGGCCTCGAACTCACAACGATTCTCCTCCCTCAGCCTCCTGAGTGCTGGGAGCACAGGCGTGCCCCACCACACCCAGCTCGGTGACAGAAATATTAATTGCCCTGATTTGATCACTATTCATTGCATACGTGTATTAAAATATCATATGGTAACCCATGAATATGTACAATTATTGTGTTAATTTAAAAAAAAAAAAACAGGCTTGTATCTTCCTTTCCAGAGCCATCACTTGCTGCATCCCCCAGGGTACCCACCCATGGGCATCAAACCATAAAGTAAGCACTTTCAAAATACATGAGCAGAGTTGCCAATTCCTGGGGGCTTTAAAGGCACTGTTTATGTTTTTTTTCAAATTTCCCAATGGGATGAACCTAGCCTGGCTGAGGGTAGCGTAAAGCAGCTGTGACCAAGGAGACTCTCAGGTGGCTCACAGGGAATCAGGCATCCTGGGGGTGCTGACAGGACTCAGGGAGCCAGGAAGGATTTTCCACCTTCGCCCCCCACTATGCTTTGGCCGACATAGGCAGGAACCTCTGCTTCTCCTTGAAGCCATTTAATTTCCTGGCTCAATCTTTCCCCTAAATGAGGTTGTCTTTTTATTTTAAGCTCCAGATTCACTGAGTGCCTGATTCTAAGTTCACAGACTTAATTTGTCCCTGAGCCTCCTACATGTGACTCAAGCTGACAGTAACCAGGTGCCTCCAAAAGCCAGTAGGCCCGTGCAGAAAGCAGTGCTCACTGTCAATGCGGTGTTGCTCCCTCTGGGGTGTCACAGATGCTTCATTCACCGCCAGCACTGCACCTGCCCAGCTGCCGCAGTCCCTGTGGGGCTCATCTAGGGCCGCTGCCAGGGTGTGTCTGTGTCCCAACAAGCACTGTGTCCACACGCAAACGTACACAAACACACCCCCAAGCCGCTCTTGTTGTGAATTCTGAAATGTTCTCAAGTTCAGAGACATCTTCATAAGTCTGACTGTGAGTTTTGGGGCCTTTGCCGCTGTACCCAGTCCTTCTGTTGACCTCAGACTATAATAAATACTCTATATCACACTTGCTGATTTATGGGTCTTTCTAGCAAATTACTGGCCCCAAGGGTGGTCCTCCAGACCCTCAAACTATAATCCTGTTTTGTTATGTTTTTGTTAAAAAAAAACTTTCCTCAATATTTGAAAAATAAAACTGCAAGACAAAATTCTAGCCGCTCATTTCGGTCATAGCCTTCCTAGAGACTATCCCTGGGCACTGCCTCCAGGGCTGTCTTGGGCTCCAGGGTGCTCCCCTGCCAGTCTCTTTGTCCTGGGATTGCTGTCACAGCTAGGCAGTGAGGGCTCTTTGGGGTCAAATTCCTTGTGGAGTCTTGACCTTTAAAAGGGACTGCAGGAGAGTCATCAAAGCCAGGGAAGAGCTCTCCAAGTGCCCTGCATGCGTGGGTGACTGCTCCACTGTTGTATCTCTCAGTCCCAGCCCAGAGGATACTGTCAGTGCTGGCTGCACATAGCAGGATCATTACACTAAGCAGGATGGCCTTCCCGGAGGCCCAGGGATGAGGCGCTCCCAATACACAGACCTGTCAGAGCCCAGCCTACATGCCCCAGAGGCTGTACCTTGAGAGCCAGATCTACGTCTAGGTGGACTCCTGGTGGACAGGCAGCTGGTGGGATCCTTGACAGATCCTGGATTCTACCACCTTCTCTCCTTCCCCATGCAATTCTAAGGTCCTCTCCCTCCCTTACTAAGGGCAATAAGAGAGGCTGAATGGATCAGACAGTAGCCATCCATTACCTTGCTGTTGTGCCTCTTGCTTTTTCACTGATTCTCCTAATTAAACCCCATGGAGAGGCAGTCCCTCATGAGGTCACCAGCACCCCAACAATCTACTGGGATTTAGAACCTGTGGTAGGTGCAACGATGAATGAGACTTTGCAGTCTAGAGAAGGTGGACTCCAGTTTAGGGTACAGGCAGGGCCTGGTGCTGCTAAACTGGCTTGGAGGGAGAGAAGGGGAGGGACACGGTGGGAAGCTCTCAAGGAGGTGAGGCCATGGGGCAGGGACAAGTTGACAGGACACCTGGGTTCCTATTCTACTTCTGCCACCCAGAATACATGCGACCTTAGCAAACTAACACACACCGTGGGACTCCCATCTCCTCAGCTATAAAGGGAAGGCAAATTATTATTTTCAAAACGATCCTACCTTTTAAACAGGGTTCATGTGAGGAGCAAGTTAGGAAAGCGCGTAAGAAGCCACTAAAGACTTACGTAAGCTATTATTGATATAAATTTACTGAATGCCGGAGATTAGGATTTCTTAGGATCATTCTGCTAAAGAAATAGGTAGATGAAGTGGGACAGGAGAAAGCCATGTTACAAAAAAATAAAGAAAAGGAAGAAACCTAACTTGGTGCTTGTTTTCAGTATCATGATGTCACTGAAGGAAAGAGAAGGGAAATTAGGGAGGTTTTCAGTGTGGAAAACACCAGCTGAGGAGGGTTCAGGACAGCTCAAGCCCAGCCTCCTTCTTATCTCTTTCTATTTTTAAAAATCCCAAACTCCAATTACAGCTTAAAATTTCCACTTCAGCTTACAAGATCAAATCACGTTCTGTGCTGAGACAAGACGCACAGACCCGCACCCACACTCCCTGCCCCCAAGGAGCTGTCTCGGGGCTGTTCCAGAGAATCAGGAGGCAGAGTCTCAGGGAAACCTCTGCACTCCTTGGAGGCTGCTGTGAAGGGCAGAACCTGACCCATTTCTGGGGTTTGTCTGGTTAAGCTCTTGGCTATGAAAGCTTTAGTTCAGACAGCAGTGGAAAGCAGGGAGCTTAACGCATAAGGCTGAGCTCAGTCTTGGGGGCTGAGTGACTCCTGAGGAAGAGGAGGGAGGAAGAGAAGGAGGAGGGGAAGGAGGAAGAGGACGAGGAGGGGGCAGAGGGGGCAGAGGGGGCGGAGGGAGGGGAGGAAGACGAGGAGTGTTTGGTAGCAGAGAGGCAGCACTCACTTTCAGGGAGGAGATGAAGGCTTTGCCCAATTAGCAGGTAAGCAGGTAAGGCTAACATCGCATGCAGAATCAAGACATTTTGGTGGGAGGGCTTCTGAAACAGGCTCAGAGCCCTTGGGATCCAAAGGACTTCATAGGCTCATTAAGAGAAAGCAAGGCTCCTTTAACACAACCCGCTAGGACAGAGTCAGCCTGGGGCTTGGGGGGGTTGGTCCCTGTGGGTAACACATCCAATTCCATGTAACCCAGTAATTCTACTCCTGTGTCTACATATCCCAAAGAACTGAAAACAGGCATTCCAGGAAACAAAAACAAAAACAAAACAACAAACTTGCATTAGAAAGTAAAGGTGGAAACAACTTAAATGTCCATCAATGGATGTATAAGTAAAATGTGGTCTATATATACCACAGGATATTATTAGGCCATGGGATTGAATACTGTTACAGGCCGCAGTGCAGATGAAGCTCCAATACATACATGTTAAATGGAAGAAGCCAGGGTCAAAAGGCCGCATGTTGGATGATTCTATTTATATGAAATGTACAGAATAGGCAAAGCCATAGAGACAGCAAGTAGGTTAGTGTTTGTCAGGGGCAGGGAGAAGAGGGGAGGGAACAATGACTGCTAGTGGGTGTGAGGTTTCCTTTTGAGGTGCTGAAAATGTTGTACAGTTAGATTGTGGTGTAACTCACACAATCCTGTGAACATACTAAAATTGTTGAATTGCCCACTTTGAAATGGTTAAAATGGTAAACTTTGCTTTGCGTACTTTACAACACACACAGGCGTGGCTATGTAGGGTGGGTCCATCGCTATAATAGCTGACCCCAGAAAGGCCTGGACACAGTGCTGAATGGAGGGCTCTGGACTCAGGTCTGAGCCCTGATCACACCCACAGCAGCAGCCTCAATCTCTCTAGAGAGCCCAGCAGCATGACCTTCAGTTCAAGATGATAGCCAGCAAGCTGGCCAAGCGGGTGGGCAGGCAGCCAGGAGGGAACAGCAGTGTGGTCACTGCCTTATACCCTGCACCCCAGCCCTTCATTTCTCTCTTGGAGATGAACTTTCTGGCTACTAAGCATGCACTACAAACATCTGCATTCTGGATAAGGGGCAAATTACCTTAAAGACACCGCCTAGAAAATGCCTATGTATAAGAAGCAAAAGCAGTATACAAAATTGTGCCAATACCGTCTAATTACAACTCCATAAAAAGACATTCTCTACAAAGAGAAAAAGATCCTAATTGGAGATGATAGTAACAGTGAGGTATCTTCCCTTGATAGAAGGTTGGCTGATTAGTTTTCACTCTCTTATACAGTGGTACCTCAGTTTACAAACTTAATTTGTTTCATGGTTTTGGAAAAGATGGCCATATTTGTATTTGCACAGGAAAGATGGCTGCTGTCATGTTTGCATCCAATGCAGAATTTGCAAACAAAAACAAAATTTTGCCAAAGGTTTTTGTTTGCAAACCAAATTGTTCATGAACCAAAGCATACATGAACTGAGGTACCACTGTATTTCCGGCATGTCTACACTGACTGTGGGTGTGGTCATGGAAAGTGACAGGCCCCAGCCTTCTCTTCCTTAGCCTCACAAAGAAACTTTCTATTATACTCTATTTCTGGGCTTCAAATTTGCTTCTTTTTCATATGATCTTAGATTAAGTCAGCAGCACATCCTTTTGTATAAAATTCCCATAAATAGAGGCGCTGTTTCCAACCCCACCCCAGCTAAGCACCCTAGATTCGCTAACCTTCCCTGTGTTCTGCTGCCTTAACCTTCAGACTCCAGTTTCTTCTTAGCTCCAGGCACTAGTGGTAGCAGGATGACTTCACAGGCCCTGGGCTGTTGTCAGCAATTCCCACGCAGAAAGGCCTTTCCAGGGAGGTAAAGGTCCCTGCTGGAAGTGGGTCTCCTCATGCACTACCTGAGGGCTAGCAAAAGTTTTCCATATTTCTTCCTCACAAAGAACTTCCTTGTTGCTAGAGTTTGCATGCCTCTTCTCCTGTGGTCACCTCCTTCCCTGGAGGTCACTTGCAAACCAGTGCAGGCCAATACAGCAGAACTGTCGTGGGGACTTACTAAGTTGGTGCGAATTCCTTTTACACAGCCTGTTCCAGAGCTCAGGACTCTGCCCCAAATAACTGTTCAATAAAGGCCTGCTAATTAGATTAGGGACAGGAAGTAAGCCTGCTTTCCTCCTACTTCCAACTGTATTACCGCCCCCACACAACTGGTTTCTTCTTATCATTTCCAAGCACTGAGCACCTATTCTATAGCAGTTGGAGTGGCCACAGGAGGGGCCTGGCACCCCACGGGCTCTGTCACTTGTTAGGGGAAAGGAGAACTAAGAGGAAGTGTGTGTGGGGGGCGGTGAGCAATTACTGCCTGGAGTGACCTGGGCCAGTCCTGTAGTCAGGAAAGGTATTTTGGAGGAGCAGAGAAGTAGGTAAAGCCCTGAGGAGCAAGAAGGTTTATGGCAAGCAGGGAAAGGTATCCAGCAGTGGGAAGGGCAATGGGAACACCAGAGGCACATTGAAAACAAGCAGCTGCACTGCTGTCCTGGAGCAGGAGGCTGCAAACAAGCGTGTAGAGGAGGGGTGCATTTGGAAGAGCCTCGGGGTCAGAAGCTCCCAGTCTGTTCATAACTTAGTACTTCTCAACCCAGAGCTCTTCACCTGTATCCTGTCAAAGGAAGAATTTTTCTAAACATCACAAAGGCAATGACCCCTCCCAACTCCAGGAAAGTGGTCACTGATAGGATTTACTATTTAGGACCGTGCATGGAGCTTGATAAACCTGCCACGACTGGCTCACTGGACTGAATGACATTGGGAAGACTTCCTATCTCTCTCCTGAACACTTATGTGTTCTTTTATCCCCCGGCACTGTCATTATGTAGGCAGGAGTCAAGCTGCTCTTACAAAGAGTAAGAAGCAACTGTGCTAGCATGCTGCTGATGCCCAAGGATCTGGTGCTGGAGGTATCAGCTAAAGAATACTGTATTGTCAATTTATATAATGGTCCTGAAACTGTTCCCTCATCTGTGAAATGGGTATGTCACAAATACCTCATCCCTACTTCAATGGACCAGTGGTATGAGTCATAGTTCAAGAAATGTGATCAATAGCACAAACACCAGAGTCTGTAACAGTGGTGGCGAACCTTTTAGAGATGAGTAGCCAAACTGTAGCCCAAAGCCCCCCTTATTTGTCGCAAAGTGTCAAGACTCTGATTAAACCTCAGTGAGGAGGTTTCACTTTAGAAAGAATAACTCATACACTAACATCTTTTATCTTAAAAGAAAAACAAAACATGTGCCATAGGTTCGCCACTGCTGTCTATAACGTTATGTGTATTCTGTGGATCAGCAGGGCAGTGAGTGAACTTTTTAGAATATAAAAGGGTGAGGGGAAAATGAAATCTTTTCACTTCCTGTAGAAGGAGCTGAGACACACAGAATTCTAGAGCAAGTAAAGGGCAAACAGGCGCAAAGACTCTTAGATCCCTCAGCATCAAGGGTCCCTTCTAGGCACAGGACCTTAAGAAAGGGTGACACGCGGGTGGGAGGAAGACAGGAGCCTCAGGAACTGGGTGTGAGGCATGGTTAATTCTCCCGCCTATTCCCTACCAAAGGCACTAATGAGGGCTTCCTTTCTGGAACCTGTTGCTGTCTCTTGCCCAGGAAACTAGAAGTGTCACGTACTGCTGCTGGCAGCTTGAACTGCAGGCCTGCCAAGACTGGCATTATGGTCAAACCTCCTGGTCCGTCCTCCACCACTGACCCATGTGTAACCTGAGACAAGTTGGTCTGCCTTAGTTCTTCATTTGTGAAATGGGCACAGCAACGTGTTCTGCCCAGCCCCCTGAGGAACGCAGGCGAGAAATTCAGCTGTGCTCCTCAGCCACACTCACCTCTTTGACCCTGTGCAACAGGGGCTGCAGCCAGTCCCTGTTCACCTCACAGTGGCTGTCCAGGAATGTCAGAGTGGTGCCCTGGGCAATGTCAGCACCCCGCATCCGGGACCGGACCAGACCTGCATCAAGGACAAACCACCAGCTGGATGCCAGTGTCCTTCTATCATGTGGTAAGATCACAGAGGGGCCACCCAGCCCCTGAACACCCAAACATATACCAACCAGCTCCCACCCCCACCCCCACACTCACACCTGAGCCCTATGGGAGTCACAGACCTACCTTGACGTTCATTGTTGCGTAAGCACTTCACTTTGGGCAGCTTGAGGAGCTGCTTGCAGTCATCAGCTGCAAAGACAAAGGTTACACCAGTGAGAGCCCAGGGAGGTGACTGCATGAAGGTGAACCTGAGGGATGAGGAGGGGAGCCCTGCTCACTGTCCCAGCTCCTGACTGCACAGCCAGTCTGGTCCTGACTCCAGGAAGCACCTGGATATGGAAGGGGCTGCCAATCACTGTTGTTCACTGTACAAAGTGGCCCATTCAGGACGAAGTGAGCCCAACAGAGTCTCTTAGGAGTGGGTTGGTCCCCATGATCACCTATATATTTGCTTAAAAACTTTACAAGTCTGAAATCTTGGCTCAGTCCCCTAAGCACATTTCTCCTTTGACCATTAAATGATGAGATCAGACCTGTTTACTTCAGTGGGTCTGGTCAAAGCTGCTAGGAGGCCAGGAATGGGAGAGGAAGATTTGGGACTTTGCTTTCAGCTCACAGAGGCTGTCTTCGTGAAGGGACAGGCCAGCTTCTTCTGTGCAAAGAGCAGGTAGTGGAAGGATAGTCTCCAGCCTGCAGCTCGCTACACTGTGCCGGGGGGTGGCGGTAAGAGACCCTCTCCTAGGCACCTGACCCTGGGCTTACACTGCCCCATCGCCTCCTCAGCTCTCTAGTTCCCTGGCTCTGAACTCCATACCTTAGCTCCACCATTTTTGCTTCACTTGTTTACTGACCATAGCCTCTCTGCTTGCTCTGGACTCCTAACAGTTAACAGAAGAGATTATCATAGCTTCCTCTGGGTGAGGTCCTATCTAAATACTCTGAAGGTGTTAACATAGTAAATTCCAATATAAACCACATATACTACTATAATCGCCTCTGTTTTATAGACAAGGAAACTGATACACATGAGGCTAGTTATTTGCTTGAGACACATGGCCAATGAGTAAGTTTTAGATGTAGGACTTGAGCCCAGGCAGTCTAGCTCCCGAGCCCATGTTTTAATCACTAGGCTCTATTCAACCCATAAGAATCCTACAGCATTTCCTTCTCCTGCCTCAGTGCCAGGCTACCAGCTAGGTCTCCCCACCTCCATGCTATTCCTCACTGGGGAAGGAAAGCAGATCACTGAGTTCCAGAACTGGGAGTCCAGACCTGATTACCCTGGGCCTTGTGTACAGCCTGCGTCTGCATTACTCTCTGTGGTTCCAAGTCACAAGGGTGGGTTTCCAGTTTTTGCACAGTAGCTCCTAGCATCTGGGCTGGTGTGAGTGGTTCTACTCTCCGAAGACTTGGAGCTGTCCCCAGTGGCCATCCCATTTCCCCTGGCTCCCCAGCAGGAAGATGTGGTTCTGCTTGGATGTGGCTCACTGCACTGAACTGCACTGAGGCTGCTGGGACAATGGCTCTCAGAGAAAGTGTCTGCACTACCAACACTCAAATCCCGACAATGCTTCTGCAATTATTGTGCCTTTCAAACTCAACACACAGGTGTCCAGATACCAGAGCATGTTTTTATGGGGAAAAGTGGGTCTGGGGTATGAATACAGGTGGAAGCAGGCTGCTTTGCTAGAATGGCTAACAGAGGTACGAGGCAGGAGATGGTAATGTAGGGGAGATGCTTCCCAGTGTGTTGGGAGACTGAAAGGCAGCTGCTCACTGTGTCACGGCCAGGTGATGAGATGTACCATGGAAGATGCCAAAGATAGGGCCCATCCAGACCTCCCCAGGAATGAAATGGAGAGAGCTGTTAGCCACGGCTCAGATTGGCAGATCAATGCAGCATTAGGATCAGGTGTCTCTTCCAACATCTAGGAATATCGGTTGAGGGTGCAGTGGGCACGCTGCATACACACAGTGTGCCCACCTGCACATAAACACATGCACCCACATGTGCATGCATTGCAAGTACATGTATACACATACCCACATACATATCTCACACACCAGCCAACCCAATGAAGATTTAGCTAGTTAGGTCCTCAAACACTGACAGCACAGAATCCAAGAAATTGCTTCACAAGTGGAAAGTTTATCTCCTTGAGCCCAGGCGGGGACACTTAGTCTTCCATGCCTATTACCAACCTCCACTTTTCTCCATCCTCAGAAAATCAGGGGATTTCACTTTGCCTGTTACACAGAGCTGGGACTGGGCATTTGTGCTTACATTGCCGGTGAGTGATATTACTTACGGTCACTGCTGAAATCATCCACTAATATGATTTCCTGAATCAAATGCATAGGGGTTCGGTTTAACACGCTGTGAGAGGGAAAGAAGAAAAATCATTATGACCTACAGTGGCAAAATATATGTATTAATCTGGGTTTTAAATAGACATCATTGTATTGGTAAAGGCTCAGAGCCACCAAAGAACCTGTCAAGTCACACTGCTCACCAGTGAGCCCGCAGGGATGTAATTGCGCCTTCTCTAGCTTAATGAATGCTAACACCACCCATCAAACCACCCAAACAGAAACCCAGGCATCATCCCCAACAATCGTTTCTCTCCTGAAACCCCACATCAAACCAGTGAATGAGCCTGGCTGATTTTATTTGAAAATAAATATCGCGCAAGTGACTTTCACCTCCCGTACCTCTGCCCCAGTTCACCCTCTTCTTTCTGGTTTATTGCAGCAGCCTTGACCTGCTCCATCATCTCCCAGTTGCAGGCCCCCTTGTAGACCTGACTGAGCCTCCAGATGCTCACTAAAGCATACAAACTAACAGCACTCCACGGCAGCTCCCTGCCCTAAACCCGCAAGCCTCAGCATGCCCCGCGTAGCTTCCTGCCAGCTGAAGGTGGCCCACATCCCCGTGCATCTTGCATCGAAAGCCTGTATCCTTCCTTCTAACTCGTAACTGAGATCCTCTTCTCTGACTGCTTGAAACGGCCCCATGCTGCCCACAAGGACCAGTTCAAATGTCACTTCCTCTCTAACAGTTTTCCAATCTACGCAGTGCAAATTAATTGCTTCCTCCTCTGGGATCCCTCAGCAGTTTGCAGCTGAAGCTTCCCATGGCTTTTATCACTTCCTAATTCTGGCGGTTGGTTTTGTGCCTCCCATCTCCCAGCAGGACCCTGATTAAGTTCTCTCTGTATCACCAAGATCCAGCACAGTGCCTTGGCCTGGAACCACTCCCATAGTGCAGACCTACTATGTGCCCCGCACTGGGCACAGAATGAGCACAGGAGAAGTGAGCTCTACCCACTGAAAGCTTGTGGCCCAGCAGCTACTCGCTACTAGCTGTGCAGACTTGAGCAAGTTACTTTAGTGCCCCATGGAGCAAAGCATCCCATCTGTAAAATGGGGATAATTATGGGAGTATCTACTTCACAGAACTGATGAGAGAACTAAAGGAGAAAATGTATATAAGGCATTCAGCATAACATGTGGCACTAAGTGATGATAAATAGTAGCAATTATTACTATTTTGTGCATCATCAATAATTTTTTAAACTGAACTGACTTCAGTTATGCCCTCCTGTGCTGTGAATCTCTACTCCAGGGGCAAAGTTGGGTTTTTGTACTAACCCCGGGGCTCAAGGCTGGCTGTGATGGCCACATCTCAAGTTCTGCATGCCCCCAAAACTTGGGAATTCTCAAAAACACTCTTGGACAGCACCAGTCATCACAGGACACCCAGAAGCCCGTATGTTGGAAAGGGGGCTCAGAATGGGTGCTGGGGAGGTATCATAAGCATCCCTTTGAGGCCCACTCTGAGCCTGTTTTTGGTGCAGCCCCCTTTTTAAGCAGGATGTAGACCCTCCTGGAGGGGAACATTGCCTGAAGCTACCTTTATTTATGAAGACTTAATTCTCACCATGGCAACTAGTGTAAGGTGGAGAGGAACCCAATACAAAGGCCCAAATCTGCTGTCAGTGTCTGTGGGGAAGAAGGGGACAGGGATGGGGAGGAAGCTGCACATCCACCAGAGAGTGGTGAGAGGAGAGGCTCAGCATGATTGTCCCAAAGAAAACACAACAAACCCAACCACCAGCCCTCTAATCAGGACAGGAGGGGAGAGGGAGGCAGACAGAAGAAAAAACCTGCTTGAAGAATAACCCCTAATGAGGTTTGATTACGGCTGTAGCTTCTGCATTCGATTCCCCCAAATCCCTGCCGGCTCTTTGAAATTCAAGAGTTCTCGCCTGTGAACATCAAAAGGTAAATCGCATGCAGCTCTGCGCTGGTTGAACTGAGAGATGATTAGCGAATAAAAAATGTCCAGGGTTTAAAACAGGAAAAAAAAAGAAAAAAAAAACTGAGAGATGATTAGCGAATAAAAAATGTCCAGGGTTTAAAACAGGAAAAAAAAAAGAATCATCAGCAGTAAGTGCTAATTAGACCATTTCCTGGTAACACCTGGCTTGTTTTTGCTCCTCTCATCAGAGCAATTGAAATGATGGTGGGGTCTCCCTAAAAGTGGCTCAAGGCTAGGAGGGCCTGGGATGGGCATATTCTCCGGGTGCCTCAGGTGGCTGTGGAAGGAAAAGGTCAGCTCCAGCCCCAGCAACTGAGCATGACCTGGCCTGGATGATCCTCCAACGCCCAGTGAATCTCTACGCCAGGGGCAAAGCTGGGTTTCTGTATCAACTCTGGGCCTCAAGGCTGACTGTGATGGTCACATCTCAGACCTGCACATCTGATTCTCAAAAACATTCCTGGACTGCACCAGCCTTCACAGGATACCCTTCTGCACTTCCACCTCATTCTCACCACCCAAACCCTGGTTGCTGTGGGCGGCTACCTCCCTCAGCCTCCCACCCTCTGCAGCAGAGCAAACCCCTTTCCTCCAGGGCTTGTCTAGCACTGGCTTTTCTCTGCTCCACCCAGCTCGGGCTGCCCCATTCCTGTCCTGCAGAGCTCAGTATGGGAATGAGCGCTCACTTTATTGGCATACACAGTATGAGACACACTTTCCCGGGATTGTTCTGGAACTTATCAGCAGCTCACCTATCTGTAGAAGGGCAGCTGCACAGATAGTGTCTATGCAGGCAGCATCTACACTTTCTGCCTGCTGCACCGTACCTGTGGGGTCCACCAGGAGCCTTGGGAGGCAGCAGGGAATCGTGGTGTGGGCTCACAGGCCAGGGCAGCCTCACCACCTACTAGCCATGCTGTCTAGAGCTAGGTGCCTATTCGCTCCCAGCCTCCCTTTCTTTCTGTAATTACCTTTCCCTTGTAAAAGCAGCTGATATTAATACTTGACCTACTTCACAGGCTTTTGTGCGTACGAAATGAGGAGATGTATTTGAAATTGCTTCGTGAACTCCACAGTGTTATATGCAGGCAGGTTTTATCAAATGCTCCATAAATACCGTTGAATGAAGACCCGAGGCCACTGACAGTTGAGTTCTGGAGCGAGACAGATTGGGGTTCAAGTACTGTGTCTGGGTAGCTCCACTTGCCAGCAGGAGAGCTTCAGTCTGTACTGAGCCTTTAGGCACCATTATTTCCTCTGCTGCACGAAAGAGGCTTAACACAGTGCACGGCACATAGTAGCTCCTCTCAGACGTGGGCACTGGTAATAAGAAATGCTGAAGCTGCTAACCACCATGGGCATCATGCACAGCTGAGATTTTCAAAGCCCATCCCTAAGCCAGCAGCATCACTGTTATCTGGGGACTTGTCAGAAATGCGAGTTCTTGGGCCCTGCTCTAAATATACTGAATCAGATTCTTTGAAACCATGTTCTAATGAGACTTCCAGGAGATTCTGACATGTGCTTTTATCAGAGAGCTGCCGCTTTAGAACACTGCTATCTTCCAGGGTGGAGGCTTAGCATCACACCTATTGTCACCTGTACCTGCCCCCTATGCACCAGGCATTGCTCCCAGTCCTTTACCTCTCTGCATTTAATGTCAGGCTTCTCCACAATCATGCCAGTGAGTTAGTGCAAGAAGTCCCTGTTCTGCAGAAAAGGAAACTGAGGCAGAGAGATTACGTAGCTTGCACAGGATCACACAACTGTTCCAGGCAGAGATAGGCAAATCTAGCCATAGAATCCAAGTTTTTAACCATCTTGACCGAAGAAAGGGCCCCTCTAGGTCTGGGATATTACAAAACAACAACAACAACATACAACAGTGAGAAGAGTCAGGATGTAAGTGACTGAGTGTACATACTCCTGAGCCCCCATGGGAGGTGTGGGGCTGAAGGATGCCCCAAAAGAAAGGTTACAGCACTGGGTCTCACACAAACACAAGGACTCTCGGTGACACAATTTAAGATGACCCATTCTTCAGGGCATACTTTCTTTCTCCTTATGTAAGTCCTTAATTAATCAAATTAAGACCATGATTCTCTGCCCTACCCCATCCATTCACCCCATCAGGCCCCTGTCTGGGTCTGAACCCCCTATTCCCAGCCCTCAGAGCCCTAGCTAATTATAGTGCTTAGGGGCTTAGAGCTCTAGACAGGGATGGTCAGAGGGTAGGCAGGCATGGTGCAGAAGGAGGAGGGCATGCACCCAAGTTCTCCCTATTTTTTCCAGCATCTTATGAGAGCCTTTGTTATGACAGCCTGGTGGCAAACAGATTCCAGGTTCTGCAAGTTAAAGTGGAATAGATGATGAAATCAAATTAGAAAGTACTCTTCATTGCATACCCTCAATGGCTAGTGAATTATTTGTATAACCAGGAGTAGAAGGGAGGTATAGAATCTTAAGGAATAGAAGTTTCTAGAAGTAGACTTTCTTATCCCCACTTCTAAAATCCCTCTCTGCCCAACCTGCTGACAGTGCAAGCACCTGGTGTTTACATATGGATCTCAGGCTGGTGAGTTGCTGGAACTGGGCATCACTCTTGGATAAAGCTTGGGGGTTGGTTTACATCTGAAGGGTCTTAGAGACAAAAAAAAAAAAAAAAAAAAAGTCTATGACTCTCAATTTGGTGATCTGGAAATTCAAGGATGCTTTCAGGGTGTTGTTGGGACCTAAACTTTGTCCCTGGGGATGAAGGATGCAGGGAGTTGGGGGCAGCGCTCCTCCCACCTAGTGGACAGAGGAGTTGGGGCTGTCCCAGTGAAGCCCCAGTGAAGTCAGAAGCCCAGGGAGGCTGGCTTTCTGCTCTCTAGCCTGGAGGCCCTGGCCTCTGCTCACCACATGTACCAGCCCAGGCTCAGCATGAAGTTCCACTGGAAGAGAAAGATAGGATGTATTCTGTAGACTACACAACTCAGGGTGCACTGATGTATGAAAACTATATTGTTGTTTCCGTGTTGTTTTGATTTTATCTTCATTCTTCTTTTGTTAGTTTAATGTTTAAAATTTAAAAAAAGAAAACTATTATTTTTAAGTGTCATCGTTACTGTTACAAAAGATACAAGGGCAGCAGGAAGAGAAAGAGAAAGGTCTCAGAGTTGAAGAAGTCTGTGGACAGCAGCTGAAGTGTCCTCTGGAGCATAACACGAAGTGTTATGGGGGCCTGGGCGCCCTGTTCATGTTACAACACACCCAAACTGTCTAAGACATTTCTGAGAGGAAGGTTTAATGTGGGAAAAGTTATACATGTGGTTAATATCCTGCCAAGGTCACACAGCTAGGAAGTGGCAGGGTTGGCACCTGACCCAGATCTTCTGAGTCTAAGTACAGTTCCATCTTAATGCCCCATGGCTTCTTTTGAATGCTTATAGCTGTGCAGCTACAGAGAGATAAGTAACACTGATTAAATATTTACTCCATGGCTGGCACAGTTCTCAGTCCACTAGCTGAATTAACCCACAGCAATTCTATGTGCTAAGTAGGACCAGTACCCCCCCTCCTTGATTAGCAAACAGAGCCACAGGGAGGGAAACTAAGAGATGAATAAAAGAGCTCCTGGAAGATCACACTGTGAAAAATGCATTAAGTGCTATAATAGGGATATGCAGAGAAAGGCCCAGAGGAAGCCCTTGCTGGTGTGTGTGTGTGTTTTGGCTGTGCATATTCTTGACACCAAAAACTCCCTGAAGGCATGAGAAGCCAGTGTGGAGAGTAGGTGCCTCTCTGGGGTGCTAATAATGTCCTCATGGCAACATCTGGCAAACATGCCCAGACCCGACCTGGGCAGCAGCCACCTGAGGCTGCCATTGGGTTGCTCATGAAGGTGCTCTGGTGCTCAGCACATGAAAATAGTGGCAGGGCCCAGGCCAGCGCTTTAGAATCAGCCACTTCTGCTCTACCATGTACCTGCTCAGCCCCAGAGGCCCAGAAACTCCTTTCTGCCCTAGTGAGAGGAACCCCTTATCCCTTTCCTCCCGTAAATACCTATACCAGTTTACAAGTCAGCAAGGTACTCTATTAACTTGCAGTGAGACTCACAGTGACACCTGACAGTGACCTGGCACATGCTCTTGTCAAGAGCTATTGCCTTATGGGGAAATGAAATTTGAATCGGGCAGCCGGTGGGGTACATGTGGAAGTCAGGACAGGGCCAGCAGCTGGTGGAAGCAGCCAGTGGATCAAGTACAAAGAATATCTGAGCAGCAGACAGAACTGACCCCTTGCATGCTGGGGTGGGTCCTCTCAGGGTTTCTGAGGGACATGCCGACCCTGCACAATGGACATGCATCTCTTAGTGACCAGTGGAGCTGAAGATCTGGTAGCCTCCATCAGGATGAGCCCACTGCAGAGCACTTCCCTCCACTCAGAGCTTCCCTCTGCACATGCCGGCATGGAGGGAGGAAAGTGTGGCTTGTCTGATGAAGACGACCAGAGATTCTGCTGTGCTGCCTGTACTTCTTTGGCCCACATTTAATCTTCTTCTCCATGGCATCAGTGAACCATGGCATGGGGAAAAGGTAGCCAAAACTGCCAGGGACCTCTGAGAACCTGGGGCAGGAATTCTGGAGCATGTCTCTTCTGGGTGCCAACTCTGTGTTCTGGGAGCAGTTCTTCTGGGGCTGGCACTGAGACTTGTGCTCAAGAAGCATCCACCACACCATTTATACATCACGCATAACCCACACTGGTGCCAAAGTTGGTCAGAGTGGCCCAAGGGAAACAGAGCGGGAACCCAAGGTAGAAGGGAGGCCATGGAAAGGCAGGGTGCAGGGAGGGGCAACCCACAGAGGACCTGGGCCCTGGCCCCAGCCTGATGCCGGGGGTAGAGCATGTATGTACTCAGCCTCTCCAGGCTTGTCAGTTGTAAAAACAGGAACACATGCTGTCAAGGTGGTCTAGTATAAGGTAAAGGGGTTAGGGCTCTGGGACCATTTTCTCTACTCTCTGTAAACTTCTGCAAGGTACTAATGTCATAGGCCTCTGTGTTTTCCCCTGTAAGTAGGATGAGGACTTCCCTCACTGGCATGTAAGGAGCAACCCAGTGAGACACATATGGTGTGTAGACTATTTTCTGGCACAGACTCAGAAGTACCCGGTACTCTAGTGACACACCAGCTCCCAATGGGCACAAACCATCACCAAGTGCTAGCCCAGGGCTGGCCCACAGGCGGGGCATGTACCTTACCTGCGGATGGTTCTAAGCAAGGTGGATCTTGCCTCGTTGTGGAAAGTGATGATGATGCTGGTGGGCGGAAGTTCTATGTGATACACCAGCAGTGAGCATCTGGGAAAGAAGATGGAAGATGTGTAAGACTCCAGGCAAAGTGTATCTAAAGGGCTGCGAAAAGGTGCATAAGGATGGTCACCTGTACAGGCAGATGCCTGGCATCTCTGGGGCCTCCTCTAGCCATAGGTCGGGCCAGAGAGCTCCAAGAATGACCAAAGTTGAGTTTTGTCACCATGGGGGAACTTGGGCTTGAAGCCAATGTGAACTAAGTTCAGAGACCAAAAAAAAAAAAAAACCAAACAAGTGTCATATTTGTACATGTCTGAGTTAGTGCATGATGGTTCCTAGTAATTATCTAAACCCACCTTGAAGTCTTGGGCTCCATCCCCAAGTCTATGCACCTCTAGATTTCTCTTCATGCCACTCACCAGATGCCTCTTCATGCAGAGTTCTGGACACCAGGTCCAGCTTACCACACCATGTGAACCGCTGACCCTCTGCCACATGCTTAAATCCAGCTGTTTCAGGAGGCAGAGTCCTAAAACCCTGGTATAAGCAATAAAGCCCTATCTTGAGAAAACATGTGTCTAGGATTATTCTGTACGACAATTATATCTGGGGTAATTTCAATTTGATACCTCGCTGCAAGTGAAAATTGTAGCCCGCAGCTCGAAAATTACTATAATAATGGAAATAAACCTGCCAAGTAAGGCTGGTGCCAGCCAGGGCCATCACTGGGGAATGCTATCTTCTGCTTCTCCCAATTTCAGGGGTTGCTGATGATGGGTGAGGGTGGGCGGAGTAGAAGAGGAAGTAAATAACAGATGTTTGGGGAGTCAGACATTTGCACTGTTTCCTATCTCTCCCCAGGGTTTTAACTGGGGACAGAGGTGGGCTTCTAGAATACTGAGCCCTCCAAAATTGCCTGCAAACTATTTGTGCAAATGTGCCTTTCCTTCCTTCTGGGAAGATGGTTCATAGTTTCCCTAGATCCTCAAAGAAGTCTGTGAACTAAAATATTCAAGATCTCCAGTCAATGAGCCTGGTGCCCTGTGGCTGCCCTGATGCTCTGAATGCTTTGTTCTAAGGAAGCAAACACCGCAAGCTCATGGGGCCAGTGCAGAGACAGTCGGGCTGTGGAAGCACTCCATACTCCCCTGATAGGTAACAACCTGTCCTTTGTGCTTCCGTAATTCGGAAAGTTTCTCTTTTCCAGGATTTCTTGTGAGAAGACCCTCCCAGTTTGTACTGTGAGTTCCTCCAGGGAAGGACTGAAGGCTCTGCCCAGCTCTACATTCCTAGAACAGGACTTAAGTATACCAGATCCCCATGTGTGGAAGAAGGGAGAGAAAAAATCAGGAAATGCTGAGAACTCAGCCTTCTTGATTTTACAAGGTGCAGCAGCCAGCCTCCCAGATGGCCTCTCGTGATAGCCACCTCTGGTCTTCACGCTCGTTTGTTATCACCTCTCTCCCTGACTCAGGGCAGTTCCTATGACCAATCAGATATGGTGAAAGCAGCAGTGGGTGACTTCAAAGCTTAAATCATGAAAGCCCTGCTGCAGCCTCTGCCTTGCCCATGTGGAGGGATGCCAACTGACACGCTGTGAAGACACTCAGCAGCCCTGCTAGAGAGGCTTATGTGGACAGAAGCCAAAGCCACCTCCCCCCACCCATGCCAACTAGCCAGCCGTATGAATGAGCCACCTCGGAAGTGGATCCACCCACCCCGGCCAGGGCATCAGATAACGGCTGCTATCACATTCTGACTGTACTTAACGAGTGCACCTAACCCAATGCCCAGCCAAGATGCTCCAAGTTCCTGACTCATAAATACCATGAAGAGGAGCCCTGACTTTTGTTGCTTCAAAGCATTATATTTAATCTGGGGTGATTGGTTGTGCATTAGATACTATTACAAAAAGGGAGGGGAAAATGCCTTGAAATAGCAAGGCCTTGGACTTGCCTATCTTTTGATACAACTCTGATGCTGTGTTAGGTGCAGTGGGGAGGGAGAAAGGGAAATGGGGCTGGGGACCTTGACTGAAAGGTTTCAGAGTTCATAAAGGCATGCAGAGGGTTGGCAGAGGGAGGATGAAGTGAGCATGCTCAGTACCAAGATGAATAAGCCACAAGGCAAAGAGAGGCTGGGGTAATCATCTACCTCTAAAAGGGGAGCTAATAAGTCAGGGAGCTTAGCAGAGACTTCTGGTCTCCCTCAGGGACAAGAAGAAACCATGAGCAGACAGTCTTGGGAGGCTTCCACTACCTGGACTGGGATACATCCAGTGACTAAGCCCCAAGCTTCTCCTTGCTGCTGTGGCCCCTGCCCTGGGCACTACTTTGGAGCTGGTGCCACTGTCCACATGCTGGAGGCAGGGGGGCCCTGAGTTCCAGCTTTCACGGTGTATAAGTTATACAGGGGAAGGTTGGGGAGGGATAGTAGTATTGGAAGCTGTCACCTGCTTAGAGAGCTTTTGGGAAGGGGGTCACATTTTTTGTCTTGAGGACACCAGCTGGGGAGGCAGGTGTCCTGATGCACAGTGACACAGAAGCATGCACACACAGCCAGGCAGGGGAGTAACTGCGCCTGGGGAGGTGAGGAAGGCTCCAGGCAGGAAGAGGTACAAGATTTCACAGATGAAGCAGGGATGGACACACATCAGGTTACAGAACTTTGCAGGCTCCTGGCCTGGTGCTCTGGATCCCAGCCACCAGCATGTGACCTGGAGCAAATCATCCACCTCTCTGGTTTACTGTGTGCTCATCTGTGAAATGGGTTGGCCCAAACCTGTCCTGCTAAAGGTCTCACAGCATGAACCATCAGGAGCTCTGATTATAGTCAATGTTCAGTTAAGTGGAGGAAATTTGAACAGAATGCTGTAAATACTATTTTGAAAGTGAGGCTCCACTATGTTACTGGGTCACCTATGACTTTACTACGTCTCAATCTCAGTTTCTTCTCCCAGAAAATGGAGATAATTTCCACCTTACAGGTATTTTCTCCTAAATTATGAACATGTTAGGCAGTAATAGGTGCCTGACAAATAGGGACTCACATTATTCCTAGCATCAGTCCAGATGTGCAGATGATTCTGCCTGTTGGGCAGAGCTAGATCTTTTGAGAGCCGGGAAAGCATCTCAGGTGGGTGACTCTCCCCTGTCTCAACAGCAGATAAGGGGTCGGGGAGGCACACCACAGGTCGGGAAAGGAACTTGGGTCTGATAGTTAGATTTGAATCTGGATCTGTACAGAACTGTGTGCCCTTGGGCATTACATTTACCTTCCTTGAATCCTCAGTGCTGTCACTTGTAAAATGTGGACAAATCCCTCCCTCCCAGGCTTGCAGTGAAGACTGCAGATAATGCAGGCAAAGCCCTTGGAGCTGAGGAAAAGGGAGCTGGAATTATAATCACATCTAGGAAACAGCTGAGCCGGCTCCATGCAATGCACTGTGCTGATTTACTAGGCTCCAGGCAATGCACCATGCTGAGCTAGTAGGCTCACAGTCACAGGTAGAGAAGGAAAGGACCTTGGAGAGGACCCAGTTCAATTCCCTTACCTGGGCAGAACTGGTGATGCAGAGGCATCATCTGGAACCTGAGCGGTTGTCTCCTGGGCCTCAGAGCCCTGTAGTCTCCTGTGCCTACTCAGCAAAGGATTCAGGCCCTACCCGGAGGCTGGCCAGGAAGCCCACGAGCTCATCCAGGAGCTCCCCCAGGTAGGTTCAGGACCAGGCAGAGAAGGCAGCAGAGCAGGCCCCACCCACACAGGCTCAAGGGATTTCATGGAACTGTCCTGTTGTCCCTGCTGCAGCCGACCCTTTGTCTCATTTGACCTTCACAATAGCCTGTGAGAACCTGCTCTCTGCAGATGAGGGAAACTGAGATGCAGAACTCACTCAAGGTCACTCATCTGGTAGATAAGTGTGGTCACGAGAGCCCAGGTCAACTTGGCTCCCCCTGGCACAAGGCAAGGAGCCTCAGGTGCTGTGCTGGCAGGATGTACCGGCCCCTGAGCCCTATGTCCAAGTTACCATCACCTGACACCCAAGGCCTGGCTGCCGCCTGCCCAGGGGTAAGAAGGGGACTAAAAATGAGGCCTTGTGGCTGAGAAACAGCCTTAAACCAGACGCCAGGGGGAGAGTTGGCCCAGACAGTGGGCTTTCTGTGGGAGGACCTAAAAGATTAATCAAACAGCAAGATCTCTTAGGAGCACAAGGGCACTGGAGAAGGCGGCCAACACTGAGGTCTGGCGCCGGCAGATGGACGAGAGAGCATGTTGATAATTTATTAAAGATTCAGAGTTTTTACTGGAGAGAAGCGCTGTGAGCAGGAAAGTGTGACATGGGGGAGGAGTGCCATGCTGGCTTCCGGAAACCAAGAGGAAGGTGGGGTATTCTCAGTGTGGGGAAATAGCAGCTCCCGAACAGCATACTCCTGGTTTATTTTTATTCTTTTTTTTTTTTTTTTTTCCCCAAGAAAGACTCAACCACATCTCAGTTTCCTCAAGGTGGGGCTCAAGGTACCTCCTGGACTCAACCTCTGGAGTGTCCAGTGTCACTTACAGGCCTGAGATGCTTCCAGGGTGGTATTTGAGATGTCAACCTGAAGGCCGGGGGGCAGGGTGAGTCCCTCTCTGCTCTCCCCACATTTGCCATCTCCTGCCCATCTTCTGCACCCAAATATGTGGCAACTGGGGTACACTCAAAAGCTCAGTGACCATCACTGTCAGTTATTGCAGTAATGTGATTTTGTCTGCACTGCCTTCTATGTTATTTCCCAAGCTTGTAAAACACTACAGCAACCTGTAAAGGACAAGATGATTATCATGGTCACCTCCATTTTATCAACAAGCAATAAGGGCTCCCGGTGGTCCCTAGCTTGCTGGCTGGGACCAGGGCTAGGCTGGGACCCTTGCCCTCTGGCTGTAGGACACATGGCCCTCCTCTCACTGCATGTTATCTCCATGCATGAGAGTATGGCGTGACTTCCCTGGTGTATGGTGATGACTACATTCATCTCATGGAACGTGCTTCAACTCCCACTTGTGGAAGC